ATTTTCACAAATTTTTTTAAGCATGACCTACAAAGAGAAAATTTTTTTTTCATTTTTTTCAACTCGTAGTTTTTTACATGTAAAAATTACAAAATTCACATAAACTCAAAAAATTTAGTAAGCTTTTAAAAGTAGAGATTTCAAAAGCTTTAAAATCCCTTTTTTAAATTTATAAAACTTTAGTTTGTTTTCAACAAAAATGTTGCGCATACAATTTTAGACTAACAAAATTTGAAATGAATTTTTCGAACAATAATAATTTCGTTAAATTCAATTTACAATACTATGAGTATATAAAGAATTTCTTATCAAAAAATTTCTTATCATATTTCGTTTATTTGCATATAAATACGAGAATTTTAAATCGCACAATTTTGATATTCAAACATATATATTAAAAAAATTATACAAATTAAAAATGACCGTCAAAGCGTGATGAAAAAAACTTAAGAATTTTCAGAAACGTACCTTTTTTCCTGTGCATTTTTGGAACCACCCTTAAGATGACTCTTACTATTGCACCCACCATTTTGCACTCGCCTTCCTGTATTGCAATTATTATCGGATTGCACAATACCCGACGGAGAAGGCATGATTATCGCTTGATGGATACCAGTAGTGCCTACATTGGCGTTCGATGCGACAGCGTTCGGCTGTAGTTGATAGCCCTTATTACTAGCGAAACCGAACTGATTGTTCATATGTTGTTGTTGTTGTGGTTGTTGCTGGCTGCTCACGTTGACGGTTGCTGTCGTATCCTGTTGTAACGACTTGGGAGCGTTTGTATCCACTGGTTTCCGTATCTTCGATACATCGTATACGTGATCGCGATGCATTCTCATGAAATGCTTCTTTACGTGATCCGCACGATTAAATGGTTTGTAGCACATGTAGCAATGAAATGGTTTTTGTTCGCGATGGATATTCTCATGTCGTGTGTAAAGATCTCGTCTGTCCGTGCCATAAGGACAGCATGGACAGTTATAACGTTTATTACTCGTGGAGGCCGCAACAGTAGTAGACATCGTGGTCGTATTCTGTGAAAGTTTACGCCTTTTTAAATTAGGCTTTAAAACAGAATTAAATAAAATTATTTTTTTGTAGTTATCAGTTATATTAGAAGAGAGTAGATAAAAGAGAGAGTAGTAGAAATATTTGCCGCAGTAATTTTATATTGGAATATGATTCCAAGAGAGATGCTATATTATATAATATTATATACATATACAGAACCTAAAAATAATTCCACATTTATGTGATAGATGGTACATACCATAAGTAAAAGAATCTTAGTAAAAACAATCAAAATTAAAAAGGGCATATAAAAGTCAAATATAAAATTCAATATAATGATCTAAGATATAAAATGTATTATGCTCTGTAAATTGTAATTACATTTCGGCATCTAGATTGAGCCAGACAATAATTTGAAAATATACAAGTATAAGACATTCATCGGGCCTCATCTTATGCTTGTATTTTTACATTATTATCTTCATCATTTTACTAACACTACTGCATGAATTATTTTTTATCTGAAGATGGCTCAACCTAGATGCTGAAACATGTAATATAGTTTTAATTACAATTTATATAGAGCATAATACATTTTATATCTTAGATCATCATATTGAATTTTATATTCTTACATGCCCTTTCTAATTTCGATTATTTTTGTACATTAAAAGTCCTTTATTCTTGTTTAATTTAATTTTAGTAAATATAGAAACATCGAAATTTCAATTGAAAATTTTGAGATTCCTATACGTATCTCTATCTATCTAATAATTTTGTATATTAGTATCATAACTAACTTTACTGTTTTCTTGTTTAGTGTCGCATACGATGTGAAAAGAGAAAAATTGAGATAATTACTAATAGCCTATTTGCAAAAATTACAGCTCCAATTACTGCTCTCTCATAATGCCTATCATAATCGCTAGTTGATGTCAACTTACTGATTTTCGATGAAATTTTTCATTATAAAGTGTGTATGAAAATTAAATAAGAACATTCAGAATGCGGTTTGTAAACACTGAGATAAATCTTTATGTCGCATACGACACATAGAAGCCAATAAGTCAGCTATGATACTAACATACAAAATTGTTGATCTCTCTGAAAAACGGTTGAGCTTTCGACTTATGTTTGCTAAGACTTTTTTACTCATGGTGTGTACTATCTACTATATAAATGCTAAATGGTTTTTGTAACACCTTGTATATGATACCACATATGTATATTACTTTTGAGGCTTTCACGGGTATGTTTCTTCAGAGGTGCCAAAGAGTTTACGGATTGTCGCCCCGTGATCTATTGCTAATGCCAACGTTTCGTGAACCTTACTGTTCACTTCATCAGGGCGAGAAGCGCACTGTATCAGTGATACTCCTCGTCCTGATGAAGTGAATGGCAAAGTTTACGAAACGTTGGCATACATATGTATATTATTACAAATATTTTTTATTACGTAATGTACATATATAATACCTGTTGCAAATGCTGTAGCGCAGGGGCAGATGGCAGTTCTTGCAAATGAAAGCTCGATGTAGTTGTCAATAAAGTCGCAGGTACAGTTTGCGTTTCTTGGGTTCTTCGGGTAGGAGGAGCCGCTCGTTCAGCACGTTCACGAAGTCTTTCTAAATACATGACTACATCTTCGATTTTAAAATCAGTTTGTAAATAATCTTTGCGTGGTGAGTGATGCCTATTTCTACTATCAGTTAGGATTCTCGACGCATGATGGTCCATGAAGTGTTCGGCAACTTCTCGTGGACCAGTCGTTATGATGTCTCCTGTGAAAATCAGATAGTCTTTATTCATACTGATAAAGTCAATTCAGTTTTGATAAGACTATCCGTAAATTACAAATTAAATTAATATATAAAATAATATAGAAATAAAATAATTAAATTTATTACAATTAATCCTTGTACACCTAATACACATGATAATTTTTGGCACTTTTACTACACACGATGGGTCAACAGACACAAATTTGTTAAATTTTTTTTATAATTCGCAAAATATTTTTGCAATAGAAACGAAAATTAATTAAAATCAAGAAAAAATAAAAAATTTTATTATAAAAAAAGTATACACTTTATCTTCTGAATTATTCTGGATCAAAGGATTCGCAAAAACAAGAGCCGGCAATGCACAATTCTCTAGATGCCAAAGTTTTTCAGGAAAAGAATATAGATCATTATTTAGCCAGATGTTTGTAATATTTCAAGAAAAAAAAATGCTATGAGTCACGAATGATCCATCGTGTATATTAAAGATTAATTATATAATTAATAGTTTGATTTAATTAATTATATTAAGTATATATAATCATCTATAGCGTTGTTTCGCTAAAAAACTGATTTTATGTTCGAATAACCAATATAAAAAATAAAAAAATAAACAAATTTTTAACTAATGTATAAAGAAGATAATACCTATTTATAATATAATTTATAATTAATGAACTATTTTTTCTGGCAGTATAAATTGAAGAAATGCAAGCGAAAAATGTACTGTCTTTTCAAAACAGTACGATCAGTAATTAGAAAGGGGACCTTTCTCACTATCTACCCTTGCTAATCAACTTATTTTTATCTTGCATCAGCTAAACTTTTTACACTATTGGATAGAAAATTGCTCAACTATACTCTGTATACTCTATCGATCTAGACCTTTAAGCGTGAGATTGTAAACAAGTTAGCCTCACAAAAAATTTTTCAGGTAGGTTTATGCAACGTTCATTAGATAGATACATTCGTGTCTTTAAATTCATTCGCTGCACATTATTGTAAGAACATTTTTAACAATATATGTAAATCATGTGTACTTACCACATTCGTCACATCGCCATATGGCTTTTCCGGCGTGGTAAGCTGCAATTCGACTTCCGTCGGTTCCTTTCAGTGGTTCGTCCTCGTACGTCCAATTTCCATCATCACTACCGTCGGTACCGTTTCCCGTATCTTCTTCAGTCTTGTAAGAAACTGAGGCTTCGAACTCATTTTGCACGTTCGATGCTGTAAAGATGAAATTATGATAAATTATATTATCTTCACATTTAAAGAGATCTTAAAGTAAACTCAATGGAATCGCTATTTTACCGATTCCAATAGGACTTACAACTTTCACACATAAGATAAACTCGGTTAAGATGGCCATACAGGAAAGATATAGGCCATAGAATGATTTAACTTTTAGAATGATTTAAAAAAATGCTCTATTTAGCAATTATTGAAGAAATTGCAGCCTAGGACAAAAATCTTTTCCGTATAATCATAATGCCCTAGTTTATCTATGATTTATATCTTATGGACACATCATTACTTGCTACTACAATCTTTCACACATATATAAATTTTCGTAAAATGATATCGTATAAAATTAGATGCTCATATTTTGTAAATACAAATTCCAGAGATTTTATATCAAGCAAATTTTGGCTAGCTGCTCTAACATCATATTGGATTAAAAAATAGTAAAGATCTCAGTTTCAAAAATTTTGCTCTCAACATAAATTCCGCGCTACAAATTATTAGGTGTTGGAATTAATTCGTAGCGTTTTACAAGTGATGGGAAGTACTTTCATTAATGTATTTTTTAATGCTCATGTGAAATAAATAACATTCTTTCATTAAAAAACGCTACGAATTAATTCCAACACCTAATAGAATAATACATATAATTTTGGAAAAGGATTTTCAAATTTGTGAAAGTAATACATGCGATATCATCGGAGGTATCAAAGGATTATCGCCGGATCGTGATTACTAATGGATTGCGATATCATTCTATGAAAATTATTATGTTTCATCGATAACGAACGACTTTAGAATTTCTTTAACGATGAAAGAAACTCATTCTTTATTATGAAACAAAACATAGATTCGCTAAGATGTCGGAAAAAGTAGTCATAATTCGAAAATTAATTAAATTGTTATCAAAAGACAATTTAGTAATCGTTTGTGAATTCGCAAATCGCGGACCGAAATACAAAAAATAGACTTATTTTAATATTAATTTGTTTTTATGAATTTTTGAGATTGCTGAACACAAATCCAAGATCAAAATTGCAAAATTAAATAAGAATGGAATATCTAATATTGCTGAAGATGTAAAAGTAGTTTTATTTTAATATTGCTTTATATTTGTTTCTGCCGGGTTTTTGGATTACTTATCATACAACTTAAAGTGAAAATATATCAAAAACTACAGCAAGTTCCAAATATATAGCACATCAAAATTTATCAAATGCTTGTAATCGTTATGAGCGAATGTGGAATGCACTCCTAAAGAAATATAGCGACACGCTATTGTACCTGTTTCGTTCGTGCATCTTTACTAAAAAAATATTTTCATGCTATTCATTATTACTATTTCACAATTTTATAACAATATTTTAAAAATAAATAATAATAAATACTAAAGAAAATATTTACATTTAATTTATATGGAAAAAGTGGCAAAAAATGAATTTTCAAAAAAAGAAATTTAAACAAATTAAAATAGAAATCAGAGTGGGAGAATGGTTTAATTAAATTTTAAACACTCTTTAGGATTGCGAATAATTAAAATACACTAAAGAAAAAAATTTCTATTAAAAACTTTAAAATTCAATGACTTTGTTACTTAAAAGAAAATATTGTTTGGTTTTCTGCCAATTCCTTCTACTTTTTCAGAAATATTCATCAAAATATTCAATCATTTGTTATCAAGTTTCGAAAGAGCTTTCATAATTGTAAAATTACGTATATTCGAAAATAGTGAAGCAACTATTTGACTATCGATTTATCGCTAAAATTCTAATGTGATTTTAAGTATATTTAAGATATAATGTAATTTATATCTTAAAATAAAAAAAATAAATTAAATTAAATTAACAGCATTTTATTCTTAAATATATAACAAACTTAATGATTTTCTTTGCAAAGAAAATTAATAATAAATATAAAAATCATTTTTAAAAAATTCAAATGATTGTTATTTGAACGGTAATTATTTAATTATTATTTGAAAAAAGTTGTAAGAAGAGCTACATTTTATTATAGAATATTTTTTCATGCTATGTTCCGAAATCGAATTTTGACTATTTTTTCAGGCTCGCTATCCTATAGTCAGTAATTAATTATCATGCGAGAATAACTAGTGAGAAAAAAATATTATTTCATAAACGTTTAATTAAATAGTCAATTATAAATGAAATTTTTTTATTGCCGAACACAGTTAACGTTAAACAATTAAATAATTAAATAATGTTAATCAAATTGTGAATGATCAATAGAAAGTATGCACACAATTTCAATTGCATTCATATGATGCATACATGTTGCGTAAAAAAAAAGTTTATTGAAAACTTACTGAATATATTATAAATAAATTTTTTAATTATTTCTATTGCAGATTTCTCGATATTATTTTGCCTTAACAAATACAATCAATAATTGATAATATATCGACACTCAGTAAAATGATATTATTTTTAACTTATTCTAGAAAATTCAACATAAAATCTTACTTCTATGATCAGGATCATCGCCATACAGTTTCTTTGTAATTTCTCTGAACATGTCCTCATAGTCTATTCTGGTGCCGTTTCCTTCCATTTTCAAAATCTGGTCACTCGCTGTTCGTAGAATAAGAACCTTTTTCTTTGTTCCTCAAAGCAGACCTTCGTGTTGAGGCACCATAGACCTTCGAACAAAAAACTTTCTATTCTTTTCTTTGCTAACAATAATATTTTTTCGCATGATTTATGAATATGAACACATGGCTCAGGAATTTCATGGACCGAGAATATCATTTTCGGAGAATTATTAATTTGATTTATTTACACGATTTTACAAGTTTTTAATACATTTTAAAAAATTTTTTTAATCGGAGTTGTTTATTTATCCTCAACATAATCGTGAAATTTGTTATTCTAATACGAATAACAAATAATCCAATTATAACAATCTTCTTACAAATTGCTCAGAAGCGTTATATTGGATCTAAATCTGGGAAAATTCTCAGCTGTGATAACGCGATTATTTGAGTATACTGAATACCTTTGTGCGATATATGAGTCAAATTTTGTTGAATATTATCGTTAGAAATATTTTCTGTAAATGCGATGTCATTCTTCTTTTTTTCAATATTTAAAAATACTGATCGCTTTTCAACGAATAATCCTTTTGTATATGTATAATTATAAATAATGAATATATAAATTTTCATGTATTGTGTTTTATTTAAATTAATTTTTATAATACTGTATTAGTATATTGTAAGGGCAAATTTCTATATATTTCACCGACGCATGCGAAAAGAAATATCATGGAATATGTTAATTCTCGAAGTTGTTTATTCTAATTATTCATAATTCTCTTTGAATATTACTTTATTATAATTTTCACAGTTACAAGGAAACTTAATTTTTTAGTGCCGAGACTTTCGTGTCTGTGGATAACAAATAATAATATTTGTTGATTGATTTTGGCAAATAACTTCGATGAAAATAAAAACTGTTTGTATATTATTTTCCTTTATTTATGTATTCAAATAAGAGTATAGGAGACTGAATATTCTCTCAACTCTTTTCTTTTATATATCTAGTACAATTATAAAGCGTGTTTCGTGAAGCGTAAAGTGTAAAATTATAAAAGAATTATAAAAATTATAGCAATTTTAAATATGATAGATTTTAATAATTAATAAATATGATTATACATTAGTATATAATTATTAATATATAAAATGTTTTAAGTAATAGATTTGAAATGAATCATTACGTTTAGCGAGTAGTTAAATAAAAATTATAATGACGAGAGAATAAGAACGTAAAAGCTTCATTATGGCAGAACAAGCGCACATTCTTTTCGTGCATATCATAAATAGAGAATAAATAGATTTGAATTGAACCATATCTCCCCATATCAGACCGTATCTCTTTTACGATCGATAATAGAGAAATATGGCATGGGAAAAAGTTTAGAAGCATAATAATATCTAACTTTTTGTTAATATTAGTTTTTTTGCGAATGCGTATTTATAACATGAAATTCCAATTAAATGTTTTCTTTATATTAATCAACTGCTCTCATTAGTTGTAAATTTTTTTTTAATTCTGAATGATATCTCATATGATATAAAAAAAGTTTTTACTTACAATTATTATGCATTATAATACAATATAAATGAAAACAATTTGTAATTTCTTTTAAAAGAATAATGGATGTTACTCTTTATTAATTATTTTTATAATGTTTTTTATAATGTTTATCAATTCTAGTAAAAATCATAAAATTATCTCTTTGAATTATACCTTCACCTTCAATAAGATAATTATTTATTATGTTAAGATTTTTTAAAATAAGAATTATTTAAGAGAAGTATTATAACATTTTATTTTTCAAACTTATATATTTGTAACTTTATATTTGTAACTTTTATTTCAGATTTATTAATATATGTATTAACTTTTCATGTCTTCTAATTCGTACCATCCATTACTTTTATAAATACCGTATTTCTATTGATTTCGATCGAGTAGAGCATGCACAAGTATTTAACACTATATTCTGTTCTGGGGTGGCGACAGCATCCCAGAAAGAGGAAGGAACGTACTTGTATTGATCGTCACGATTGCTGTTCACAGAACTGAGAGGGGATGACTAGCAACCCTGCTAGTAACCCTGTACTATGTGTGCATGCGCATATACCAAGATCAGTCGCGTACATGTATACAGAAGGGGAAGCAAGAACGTTGGAAGGGATTACTGTGAAGAATAAATCAATATGCCCCTCTACTGATCGGGGCCACATCCTCTAGAAACGACAGATGGTGGAACGTAGAGGGTGTTCTAGAACGTACTATTGAAACTGAACATTTCTGCGCTGATTGAGAACCTCTACTTTATGGCGCAGAGAGAAGGAATAAAGAAACCCGAAGGGAAAAGAAAGAGAGATGACAACGGCGGGAACATGGTCGGTTGGAATAAAGGCAAAGACACACAATCCGAGAGAGAGAGAGAGAGAGAGAGAGAGAGAGAGAGAATCAGGTAGATAGACGAAGAAAGAGAGGACGAGAAAACAAAAAAAAATCAAGAAAATAAAGTAGGAGAGAGAGAGAGAGAGAAAGAGAGAGAGAGAGAGAAGGCACGCGCAGTGCTCCATTCAAATCCATCCGGAAATTATTGCCGGCTAACCAAGGACGTCAGGCAGGTCTCCGCGTCCTCGTGTGCACATGTACAATCGTGCACACGTACGTAATGCCATTGCACACATGCATGCACGATCGTTAGTGTGGAGTTGAAAGATCCCTTCTTTTCTCTTCGCTCTTTCGTCTCCGCTCTCTGCACGTTTTCCTACACGCGGCGGTACGCGCAAAATCGCCGTTGCTATTAGTACACGTCGCGAAAAATGTCGCGGCGAACGCCGCCACCGGCCTGTTGGCCGCCCTCAACATCGCGTACGATATCGCGGAGCACCCGCGCGAATGGCCGCCCCCGCGCGCACACGCGCGCCTCCAGAACACACATGGACACCCGGCACCTCTCTCCGTCTGCCTCACTGCGCGCTACCCGTCGAAACACCGACGAACACACGGACGTCGAGACGTCGCACATATAGCCGCGCGCTCCGCGCGTCTCGATGGGTATTCGCGTGCGGCCTATTCGCGATACACAATACGTCGGCCACGGCGGCGGTCTCGATCCTCTTGCTCTCGTTCGCGCCACAACTCGTTAACACTCGTGGTCGTAACTCACATTCAGTTCTTCACTCGCTGTTACATTTCACATCTTCTTTCTCATCATCTCACTTTGTACTTCCACTCGATCGTTCGTTTTCGGCGCGCAACTCGATATTTCCGATAGAAGAAGTGAAGCAACGTATGGCCTCAAGAGGAACATCCTCGGGAAAGACACTGATGGAGATCTGTTGTCGTATTGACGCTGGATGGACGATGATGACGCGAACACGATGGACAGCTCACAGGACACGACGCGTCAAGATACACGGATAAACATCGGATCTCGGATGAAGAAAGACGTTTGGAAATACTACGTTAAATAACTCACCTTTTTGTGTCGTTGATCCAGACTAAGTGCAAGACACTAACGAAAATCGTTGTTCGAGGAAACGTTATGCTGGTCGGTTGCAGGTTGTTTCCTCGACGGCTGTCGGGTGGCGAGTGGGTGGCAGGCGGGGTGGCGGGTAGAAGTGGGTGGCTCAGGCGGGTTGGGAGCAGTGGTGTGTGGGTGGTAGCGTGAGGGAACCCAATACCACCCTCCTCGCCCATTCAATCCTCCAGTATTAGGGGGAGCAGTCGAGCCTGTTTTCACTCCCCTCCCTCCCACCATACTCCCAACAGCCCACTACACACCAACAGCTGGCGACGATAGACCCGTTTGTACGTGTGTGTATAGAGTTTGTCTTATATAGATATGCCTACACAAGGAGCACTACGCGCCCTCGACGTCCCAGAAAGTGGCACCTCCCTTCCTACACGTGTTCACAACGCTATTCTAGAGGCGAATTGGTTCGTAAGAAAGGTGGAGTTGGAAAAAACAAGGAGAAGGAGGGAATCTGTATGAAGAGTTTTCAAATCCCTTCTTTAGGAATATCTTTAGTCTAAAAAAGTCTAGATGTATGTTTTTGAAGGTCTCTTTACCTGAGTTAGTACCCTTAATTTTCTTAAACTTTACTGTGTTTCTGAAGAGAAAGTTGTGCATTCAAAAATCTTTAGACGCCAGGAAACTTCTGACAAAAGAAAAAAAGATTGAATGGATTAGTCACGCGTCATAAATCCATGCGGTCATAAATTTTGACCGTTTTTGAATTTGTAGTAGACATTTCAAAAAAAAATATATTCCAACCGTGTAACTAATACAATCGTTTGTTATATTTGATATGTTATATACCTTTGTTATATACCTTTACAGAATATTGAACAAGACTATATTGATTCTAGACAACACCATGTTAATCGAATTGTTTTATCACCTTTTATATAAAGAATACAAATAAAAATTATTCTAATAATCAAAATTTTTGTATATTTTTTTAATAATATTTTATTCCAAGATAGACGAATGATATTAATATATATGAATAGAAGATTTTAATGTCATTAGTAGCTTTGTATCTTTAGAAGCACCGCCGGGATATGCGTAAATGCAGAGCTAGTATATCCAAGGCAAGAACACTGATATCAGTCAGAAGTCTACTTCAGCCGATAAGCAAGCAGTCGACCAAACCGACTGTTTCCTAGAACCAGTTTCGGTTCTGGGTCGGCATCCTTGGTTCCCTACCGAGAGTACGAGAGATGTTGTACCAGCACTACCAGCGCGCAGCGGCATTCGCCACTACGGCAAACCTTCATTTACATTCCGCCTGGCGTTACCATGTGTAACGTTCCATGACGCGGGTCTGAAATTAACTTCCAGCGCTCCGTCACTTCGTTATCATGCAGCTGGAGGCCGCCTCGCACACGAACGAGCGCGGATCATTCAACGGGAGCAACCCGAGATACATCTGCATCTGCATCCGAGTCGCAATTTAGGAACGATGGGATGCATCGGGCCACTGCCGACGTTGCCCGTATTGATCTCTACCTCTCTGTTCAGACATTCCCTTACGCTCGCGCGTCGCCCGCCCGTCTCTTCCTTACGTAGACGCGAGGTGGAAAAAAGAACTGACGGAGGGATGATGATGTCTGGTATTGGCCGCGGTCGCGTGATCGATCGGATGCCGCACCGCGGTCGGAAGGAGGAGATGGTACTTTAGCGCGAGAGAAATTTCCGCTCTCGCACCACAAACGCGGAACTACTTAACTTAAAAGCCGCTAAAACGGCGATGTGCCAAGGACGGCGGTTTGGGGAAGGGAAAGGAAAATGAGATTTTTCATGAAAACGTTATATCCCTAAAATATATGACAGGAGATTTCCATAAAAATCTAAGCACGGATTTGCGACCACCACGACAATGCTTGTGTCTATTTATTTTTGCGTACAGGCGCCTTCTTTCAGAATGTGATGATATTTATAATTATAAAAGAGCCTTATATCCATATTTTGCAAAAATATCCTCACATCGTCGTTGCCACAAATGCGTTTTGCTTTCGCTTTCTTCTAGTTCTCTTATATCATCTTTTATTATTAGCTGTTTATTAATCTATTATTAACTGTGCTTTATATAAGATTTAAAGTTCATCGAGAGAAAGATAATTTCCTATTAAGAACTGATAGTTTTAATTCTCCGCTTGTTCAATATCAATTTTCACCGAAATTTTTACTGAGTAAATGAAACAAAAGAAAGAATGAATAATTTTAAAAATAAAATTACGTTTTACAATTTCATTACTATATCATGTATTAAAAGGATTTTAATTTTAGCATTAATAATGACTTGAAATTATAAAAGATTGATATTAAATCTAAAGAATTTCTAATGAAAAAGAATTTTATTTCTCTGACACGGGGAGAAAAAAACAATAATAATTTTCAATATTGCGAATCTTTCTATTCTTAAAAGTTACAATGTCACAAATAAGCAATAATATAATTATAGCAATGAATGTAGCAATTACATAATTATTAAAGATATACCGGATCGTAAAATTACCGGATATCGGATATCTGAAAAGAATGTGGAACCGGATATCCAAAATCCGATCGGATATCCAATAGAGCAGTTATCTCTCTCCGGTCAGATATCAGTCACAAATTTCCCAAATTAAAAAAAAAAAGAAAAAGCAAAGAAAAATAGATAAAGGAAAAAGCAATAATTGACCGATTGTAGAACAGAGTAATTCAGTTTGTAATTCAGTTTCAACATTGCTTAGTAATAAAAATTTAATATTAATACATTTTTCACAATGAACAATAACATTTCAGCATTTCCGGTGACAATCTACTTTGATTATCGGCATAAACAATTATAACTGTGCAAAATCATAAACTGTGCAAGAAGTTCAACTGAAAAGAATATGACGCAGACTTTCAATATAAAATTTCAGCCAGATATATTATATATTGCCGGAGACTAATGATATCTATCCGATCGAATAGTAAAAAAATATCGGATAATACCAAATACTGGATATTTTCTGGATATACGGTATTCGATATTATCCGATATTTTTTTATCATCTCTAATAATTATAGTCAGACTTATTCATCATTCATATTTATTAATATAAATTAAAACGTGCTTTCAAGCTATTCATTATTTCATTATACTTCGCTCAAATATTCAGCTTTCATGAGTTACAGCAACTTATTTATCGAACAGTTTTGATTTTTCATAACATAGATTCTCTTATTAGTATTTACAAAATTACGAATTGTTTTTGTCTGTCTCTCTCTCTCTCTCTCTCTCTCTCTCTCTCTCTCTCATTATTACTATATACCCATCAAACGCTAAATAACTAAATATTCTTGAAATATTCCTAAAATCCCAAAAAAACATTCCCAAATATTTCGAATATTTGCAATATGTAAAAGAAACATTCAAATGTCGATTAAAAATTTCATTTATACGTCGTTACATTTTCCGAAAATGTTCCATATATATTCCGCAAAATTTCAATTTTCCAAAAATTCCAGATCAATTCGTCCGTGAATAAGTTTTTAAACAAAAATTTTTACTTTGGAAAAGAGAAAAATTTGCAAAAAACTCCGACATTTTTACAGTTGTACTTTTACAGTTGTAAAAATAAAAGTAAAGCAAGGCAATTATTACATACCATGTAGGACTAGAAATGAAGGTGATCTTCATACGAAGCAAAAAGCAGGCAGAATGAAACGTAAGACAGCTACGAATAATATGAGTTGATAAGAGCACTAGCTTATGGAGGCAGCGGAGTAAAAGATTTAAGTACGACATTTAATATGAAATGGAAGATCTTCCAAATTTCACAGACTTATATTTTCTCCTAGGTGATTCTTGTTTACGAATAAATGCTGTTCGTCGCGACCCTTTGTCGGCGAAGATGTGTACTGTTCGCTCGTTCGCGATTTTCGTGAAATATACAAGGAGTATTCACACAACATTCTGAATATTTCATCGACATTTACACATTCTGTGACGATTCTTTTACTGTTCTGGAACGTTCGGTATATTGGTATACGAATCGAACTTTCTATGAATATTTAGCGTTAGCTGGTACGTACTTGTTTATTATCAAACAAATATTTTGTTATAGCTTTCATTTTATAGCTCTCTGTGCTTACAATAAAAATACATTTATCTACTGATAATCCCATCTATTCCTGTTATCATTAAGGTATCATTTTACCGTAACATTTTGGAATGTTTCCGATTTATTTTATGCTCTCGCTTTATTCTGTATTCCTTCATTTTTTTCTATCAAATTGCACACTAAGAAAAAAAGTCGAAATATTCACAAGTAAATATTACACGTGATGTTTTCTGCGATATTAGTTATAAAAAATTTTACTGTGATAACGAAATACATTTCTGTGAAATATATCATTAATTATAAAAAAAATAAAATAAATGTTTATTTACTAGAAAATTTATGTTTGCTAAAATTTTATTTTCGTTTTATAATAAATAAATAAGGATTTATTTCAGTAAAATAAATATAATATCTCACAAATAAATTTTTAAGTGTTTTTTTTTTTTCAGTGACACGCGGGGGTGGATGATGTACACCGATTTTTCCTTCATCATGATCCTTTATACAATTGTGATTGTGTTGAATTATAAGTTGTAACTCAGACAATGAAAAATCTAAAATTGAGATAACATAAGACGTCTTAAAGATATCGTTAAGACATCATTAAAAAATGTCTTTGAAATATCTTATGCGTCTCCCTTTTGACACATACATGTTGTCTGAAAACGTTTCGTAATAATGAAGGATCACGAGAAAGTATCGGCGGGTCATTCGCACGTAAGGATCACGAGGACGAGCACCGCTGTCGTCACCGCGGTACTCGTACATCGGCCGATGACTATCGCATCAGCTTCGGAGTCGGCGTTCTGTGATGGTAACAGCATCGGCGTCGGCGCGGCGTCCGCAAAGCGCTAGGTAGCTTCGCGTCGCGGCGCTTCGCGTCGGCGTCGCTGGAATCGTCCGCGAAACGGACAGACAGTGGTGGCCAAGGCACCGTGTAAGCGCGTGTAATCGCCATATTGGCCGAACTCCGGACGATAGCACCTCGCGGGTCGTGGAGCTTTAAAGCTTCCGCGGTTGCTGCTCTTCCAACCATTGCCCGCGTCGGTACGGTCATAATAACGGGGGAAGCACATAAAGTGGAGCGAGGGCGAGCGGTCCCTGTGCGGAAAAAGAGGCGGCGAGGAAAGGACACGCGATAATACCGGATACGCCTTCGAACGCCGCATCGAACAGCGAAAAAGAGCTAGAGAAAGAGAGAGAGAGAGAGAGAGAGAGAGAGAGAGGGAGAGAGAAAGATAAGGATAAGATATAACACGCGGACATAGCAGTGACAAGTGTTATACGGATACGCGTGACATAAACCAAGGCAAGGGAGAATCGCAGCGATCAATCGCGACGGTGTATTCAAATATCAATATCGATCTTCCTATATTCTGGATATATATCTCTCTCAGATTGTATTCTTCGAAGATTACTTTCGTCAGTTCCGTCTGCAAACTTCCGCGTCGGATTCTGCGTCGCTTCCATTGTATCACATTCCTTGGTTCTCACTTTCGACGAAATTTCTACAAAGTAACTACGTGTGCTCCGAAAACGGCACAGACTGCATCTCGTTTGAAATCATGCAAGAAAAGAGATCGATGATTTCCAATATAATTATCAATAAATTCAAATTATCAATAAATTCTTCCTGAAACTAATCTTCCTAAGAAGTTTTTCCATCCAACCGATTTCGCGGAGGCAAGGATTAACGCTCAATCGGAAGTCTTCCGACAGGATACCAAGCGGTCAATCGACGAGAAGCTGGCACGAAGATAGCCTTCAGCAGTCTACCTTGCCGGCGTGACAGTGCGCGAGCTCGTCTCTCCCTCTGGTCTCCACTGCTGCCAATCAATAACCGGCGCATCGGCTCGCTTACGCTCCAATCTCCTTTCCTTTCTCTCTCTCTCTCTCTCTCTCTCTCTCTCTCTCTCTCTCTCCCTCTCTCTCTCTCTCTCTCTCCTCTCTGTCTCTCTTTGCCTTATCTGTCTTCCCACTATCTCACGCTCTTACTTTCAACGCTCCTCTCTTTCTGCTTAATCAAACACGCTAACATTCTCCGATTCCTTTCATCATCTTCCCTTTTCTTCCTACCTTTTTCTTTTCCCTGTCTACCTTTCTCTCTTCCCTGCGTCTTCTTCCGCACTCTCGTGTGCAAGATACGCATCTGATGCACAGGCATCTGTCAATGCAATCAACATCAGGAACATAAACAGACGCAGCGTCAGCATCGGTCCGTGCCAGCGACAGCAGCGCAGGCATTTAAACCGCTGGCCATATCAGCGTCTCGCGCAACATCTTTAACAGGCGCGAGTATCTATTTATAATTCCGTCAAACGCAACGGGAAACGAAAACTGCGGCATCGTGTACAGCTACCTAGGTCAGCCGCGAAGAAAAGAGATGTCGACGTGAAGTTGGCGTTAACCCGAGAGCGTGGCACGACGCGACACAGCCGCTCCTTTAAAACTGTGTAATTGAAGGATGTGATGAGTCGATCGCGTGCGACGTCCTCACTGTCATCATCGTCATCGTTGCCCTAAAGTTCAAGGATTTGGGTCTCGGTTGGTTGACCGAATTTTTCGAGTCCACGATACGAAACCGCGTATCTCAATGGAACGCGACGAATTCGTTCGATCGTATCGCATTCATCCTTAAGAGCAAACGCCATCGGTAGCGAAGGATCTCCACTTCCTGTTCCTTTCAATAACGGGTCTCGCATCCGCGCACTCTCGCCTCTCTCTCTCTCTCTCTCTCTCTTTCTCTTTCTCTCTCCCTTTCTCTCCTACCTTTCCGACTCGGCCGACCGACCAGTCGATCCGCGCGCGCGGCTGTCCCGTTAAGAGAGAAGGGTGGAGGGTGCCGCGAGAGGGTGACGGTGGTGGAGTGGTATGTGGCGCGGGTGGTATTAACGAAGAGGATTGTCGAGAGAAAAACGACGGACAATCGGCAGCAGCGGAAAGTGGAAGACGGTGGGAAATGGATGAAATATCATGCGCGACATCGACGACGTAACCCTCCGCTTGTTGGGGTCCGCCGTTGTTCAGTGTCGTCGCGCGACGTCGCCATCATCGTCGGCGTAGTAACGCCTCGCCCGATCTCGAGGCGAGGAAACCGTTTGGCGGCTGATCGTTTGGTAGTGCGCGTACCTATGTGTCCGTCCGCGAGTCCGTAAAGGATTCGTACGCTGGGCTGTTACGCGATTTCGGCTGAGGGGCACTGGTACGCGCTGGGAGCATGCGGGTTTCGGGCGAGGCCCGGCGAGGCGGCTCCGCGGGAGGACCGGGCTAAAGGAACGACCGCATATCGGAAGGGACACTCGCGAACGCGGGCACGGTGCGCCCGCGGCCGTGCCCGCACCCGCACCCCCGCGTCTCGTCTCGGCGCCGCGTCGCGGCCGGTCACACGCCGATTAGGTTCATCCTGAAGACGCGGAAAGCGAGCGCGGCTCGCTTTCGGACGCATGGAACATGATAGAGGTAAGAGAGTCAAGACGTGAACGTACTCCTAATCGTTGTCGTCTCTGTCTTAAAGAAAGGATTAAAGATTCAGCACGGAACAATAATGGAGTCGCGCTGATGATCTTCCCCTGCAAGGTGTATGACTGCAGCAGTCAATTCGATTATCATTTATGACATGAAATCCAATGATGTTCCTCATATAAATGTGCAGTATGCATGATAAATAGTTAATAAATAATTTCCGTGAAACAGAAAGTTTACAAAACTATATAACAATATAAAAATTTCCTACATAATTTATAACTTCATTAACATATTCAGTCATATTTTCGGAGTTTACGAAACCTTTTCTAATTTAATAACATGCAAATAAACAATGTGGCTGGATTGAATATTGAAAACCGATTGCATTTCAACCGTGTTTAAATTATTCCAATATAGAATTGTATTATTGTAAATTAATTTTGAAATAGTGCGCTGTAATAACATGAACAAGGACTCTATTATCGCTGGTTAGAATCTAGCTCGAAATATCTGCAGCTTGCCATTCGTTCACGTATAGGGACATAACAAATTCATTTATATGGACATACGCATACATCCTTGTCCGAATCGAAATAAATTCATGGGATTATCGGACGAAGCTTGCGAGAAGAGAAACGGGGGTTGCAGCTTGCACGTGCTCCGTGATTGCGTGCTGCATGTAGCCAACACACCATTGGGCCATTGACATGTTGACACGCAGCTATGCGTAAACACTATCGCCGTTTCAGAACCGTTGTAAACACAGCGACAGTATTTGCATCTAAGAATACGCGCGATGAGAAGAAACTAATGTTCATAAATGTATTAAAAATATTAATAATCTTCCGTGCCAAAATACACACTCCTATCCAAGTGCTACTCTGTTTATTAACCACTATTGAAAATGACCCGATAATAATTAACGGACGCAAATAATTTATTTATTATTCTCATTTGCATTATTAATTATCAAATTAATTAATTAATTATTAATTACTAATTTAATCTTTTTAGCAAGCATTGTAAAATCAATATGAATTAATTAACAATAGTATTTTTATATGTAATTGTTTTTATTTAATTATATTTTTATATAAAAACTAGTCTAGCGTAACGTCTAGCACACGTTTACGGATATATGGCTTGTTAATATAAGATATTATTATATTCAAGCTATACACAGCTATCTTGAAACTAACTTATGCAAAATCTATAGATCACAATTAATCACCTAGTACGAAGTGTTTCCTAAATTTCGCAGCGTTCTCCGTAAACAACGGCTCTTGTTTCCATAATGCCTGCCAAAACAAATCGCCGAGAGATTATTGAAATTTAGATCGTTATATTATCTCGTAACCGAAGTCTCGTTTTCAGGAAAGACGACCCGCGAGATATACGAAATACGGAATTCGCTTCGTGTATAAACCGCGTAGTGTATTTTACGAGCCAGCCGCTCGAAACGGCGGTTTTGCGCGTGGTCTTTTCGATTTCCGGCTTCTATTTCCCGACCACTCTAAATCGCCACGCTCGCGTAAATCCGCGTCCGATTTATATCGCGCTATAAACGATTAAACAACGGTCCCCTTTCCAATCTCTACGATTCCGATTGTCCAATTTCAATTTCCTTTCCCAATTGTTTCATATCCGTCTTTCTCTTTCTTTCTCCCATCTTTTTCTCTCCACCTCTCATCTTCACGTGGCTTCATTCGTATGCGCCACCACGTTTATTCGCAAATACACGTGTACACTTTACGCCAGTGCCCGCTGTTTATCAACCTCTTCCCACATCCCCTATAAGCGACTGTCCGATGTAGTCGTTATCGCGCGAGGCCGCATCGGAGAGAGAGCGGGTCATCGATATACAACACGGTGTAAAAATAAAGGGCCGCACGCGGCTACGTGCATGTGCAGACACATACCCAAACTTCATTCCGCGAATCTCTTTTTATATTGCGAGAGAGAATAAGCGAGAGCCACGTTGAATATATTTTCGCGAGATTTCGAACGCTGCGGAATAAATTCATGCGCTCAGAATTTCATTCGTTTGTTCCTTTCTTTTGTTTAATGGAATAGGAAAAGATGCAAAGAAAATCCCAAACTGTATGCGAACTGCATTAAAGCTGATCTTTAATGATATTTTATTTTACAATACTTTTGACTTTCAGTACAATAAAATATTAGTGATCCTCTCATTGATATTTTATTGTCGCTATATAATGTTTTTTTGTGTAATTTCCAAATAGAGAAGAAAAAGAAAAACTTAATCAACGCGAAAACAAATTAAATTATTCATTTATTCTAAAACCAATAATGTTATGAGCAGAGCTGCAATTGAAAAACGTCTAAACTTCTTGAAAAATGATCGGAAATACAGATTTTGAATTGAGATCGCGTTCTTAAATATGGCATTAAGAGTTTAATCCTCTCCTTAGACTTTCTCCGAGAATCCAATATCGGTCAGCTCAGCCGTCTGGCGATCATGAATTTTAAATACCAAAGACCTCGAATGGAACAGCGAACGGAAGAATAATAAATCTCCGGCTACATCTCACTTCGATATCGCCATCGCCGGATCGCGCTGAAAATACAAGCCAATCGATACGTGCAGCTGAGCGTACGACAATCGTATCCGAACTAATTGGTTGCTTTTTGAAAGCTTACGTGTCAATTATCGTACTAATTTATTTTGACTAAAGCTTAACTTTATCGTATTGCCACGTGAGTAAATTGTTCTCTTCTTGAGATTTATTACTTATGACTCATTTAAATGTGGAAATTTAATAATCGTGATTTTCACGTTAAATGCTTAATTGAAATTTACTTTTCGCATATACTCAACGATTCTGTTTCTCTTCCAAAATTGATCTGAGTTACTTTCGTGATTTTTATGTTTTTCTTCGTCTTGCACAATAAAAATGTCTATTTATTTATATCTTAATCATAAATTATACATATTGATATTTAAAAAATTACTAGATATTACTTTCGTATAGACAATTAGATTATTATATAAAATTAAATTATAGTATACAAATATGTGTACTCTAAATGTGCGCAATACTAATATTAAAAAAAACTTCATATTATTAGTTTATATTTGAACATGTTTCTAAAAAAGTTCAATGTCAGTCACCTTGCGTAAACAAATCACAAAGCCGACAAGTGGTTCATTGTGTTCCGGAAGCCACTGATTTAGTAGAACTATTCTTAGCACCGGGATAAGCTCGTTCGCACGTGGTGTGCGAATTCAGAGGACGGATGTCGCTTCCAGATGTCGAGTGGACTTGGTGCAACCGCAATGGGAATCGGCGTTAGTCACGGGACGGGCGGCGAAGGTGTAGCTGGTGGTTGCCGCCTCCGTGCACAGAACCAAGGCCAAGCCTCGGGGTCCACGATGCAGCATAATCCGCAACAGTCGTCTCAGCAGCAGCAGCAGCAGCAGCAGCAGCAGCAGCAGCAGCAGCAGCCGTAGGCCGCACCACAAACACAAGCCGCCTACACCGAGACACCACCCATCACGAGCAACAACAGTCGCAGCAACAGCAGCAACAGGCATCCGCGTCGCAGCAGCAATCGCAGCAACAGCAACGTCAGGCGGCCGGATTCACGGGTCGATCGAAGAAGGACAACTGTTGCCTATGCTGGTGCTGTTGCTGCAGTTGCTCGTGGTATTATCGATCCTGTCTGATCATGGCTCGTACATCGATGTGACTAAAAAAACATATTCTTAAGAAAATTGCTGATAGGACGATTGAGCAATTCAGCACTTTTCATTGCTCTTTTATGTTAATCTAACATTTTACGTTAATCTAACATTTTTTAGTAATTGCTAATTATGAAACAAAAAATCGTAATAATTTTTTGTTAATCAAATGTGAATTTGATCAGAAAATTTTGTTATCTCTTAGATAGATTTTTATTTAAAAAAATCTATCTCGAGTTGTTTTTCTTCACAATGACATGTTACATTGGCTGCGTTCAGCAGAAAAAGCATCTGTTGCAATTGTAAGATTCTTTAATATGATTAGTTTATACATTTAGAACCATTGAGGAACTAGGTGCAAGAACCAATCGTATTAAAGACTTTTACAACAGTTGCAAAACTGCTGCTTTTTCTGCCGCCATTGATTTAACTCTTGAAGCGCACCGATGTACGAAATATTTTATTAAATTATGAAGAACTATACTCGATTTATACGACAATGGACAAATCGTTAATGAAGAATGGATCTCCGAATTGCACGAAGTGACTTTAATCTCTCGTTCTATAATTATATGTGCTCGCGATGGCGAGTTACTGAAAAGTCAGCACAAAGAGTTTTCATTGTAATCGCAAACATAAAGTAGATGAAAACGAGCCACGCGCTATTATCGTTATCGCGCAGCTATTTTCATGCTTACTTCATCTACTGAACCTCTCGCCATTGAAACGATATCGGTCCATTGTCTTTAAACTCTCGCGTGTGATCCATTTATTGCCGTGCAGACGTACCTACATATTGCCTTTCTATGTTTCATGCCACAAGTAGGAATAAATGGTAAGCAGGCCACGGACTGTGTGCGTTAATGCTGCTTGTTTGTTATGTCGATGATGATGCTATCGTAATGCACGTATTATGGCTCGTAGAAACGGGGTTATGCACATACCACGCGTCCTTCCTACGCGAGCCATCTTTACAGATTATACGCTAGTAGTTTACTCATTCTAGGCTGGCATCGACCCGAAAGAGTCTATCTGAGGTGCAATGGCATTTCCTGAATTTCTATCGCAGGAATATACGACAGTATACTCTTAACTGTTTCGTCATATCAATGTGAAGGAATCTTTCAAAAAACATGTGTTTTGAAATATAATTTCTTTATTTTAGTATTATAAAATTCGCTTCAAGTTGCGCAACGTTATATTTTTCGGCAGTTGTCTATTTTATTAGTTATATTATAGTTCTTATAATTGAGATATATTTTTAAAAGAAATTGTTGCTGTTGAAGTAAAATTTCAATGAATAATAAATCTACAAATAATCTTTTACAATTGTTTGCAACATTAGATAAAAAAAGACTCTTTCATAATAAAGAAACTATGTTACGAGTTATTTCTGTGTTTCGATTGTTGTTGCCAACATTTTGTAAACGTTGCAGTTCACTTCATCAGGGCGAGAAGCAACCTTTTTAAAGTAGACTCTTGCAATATTTTGTAAAATTTACAAATTGACAAATGAGCACGTGAGAAATATTCTAAAATTATCAGATATTTTATTTTATTTTTTATTCATTCAAGTAAAAATCTTTTACAAATAAACGCAAGTTCGATCGATCAGACGGCAACTGAACCAATCATTTTCGTGATTTGCCATCTGACCAAGTCGCGTAAACCGTTCAGAATTGCCGTTTATTTCCACAGTTGTGGTTCGCAAACGCCATAGGACGGCCGCGTCATCAAGCACAAAGAATCGGCCTTCCAATGACCCGGTTCTGTGCCTGTTATCGACACGACTAATATTTTCTATCGGTTCGATGCCACTCGTTCACATCTCTTTGTATCTCGTTATCCTCAGTCTCGATTAAATTAGCTATCCTGACGATCGTTAATCATTATCATTTTCTGTATTTGTGTGTGCGTCCGCCGGATCATACTCTTCCCTTCGTCACTCATTTTATGGCTCTTCATTTCCCGAGGCTACCAAGTTTAATATTCATTTTCTACACATCTTTCCTCCGCCTTCATTCTCGGCTGTCTATCATTACTTTCGCGTTTGCATTCCTTCCGTCATCCTCATGTTTGCCAACAAAAATCACCACTAATATTATCGTACGTTATAATTAACACGATGGTTTACGATCAATTTTAATATCGATATCGATACTATAATCTATGACAAATTTCTTATCGGTAGATCCGATCGGATCCACGTCTCACTTCTTATAATTATAATGTAAAGTAGATTAAAGTAACTGCGCAAAAAGAAACATTCAATAACTTATTATTTTTAATTAGTCTTTCGATTATATAGTAATAACTAAAATCTACGTAATATAATAATAAATTATAAATAAATGCTATTTCGAACGGGACTTAAACATGAATAAAATAGCTTATAATCATGGAATCATCATATCAATCTATTTATTTAATCGATTCTCCCGCACTGTTCTACACGTTATTAACAATATAGAGTACGGCCAATGTGATGCTCCAAATGCTTTAAAGCATTTTTTGATTGGTCGATTTGTTTTTGAAAAATTCTTTTTTTTCATTGATCTATCAAACGCTTCAAAGCATTTGTAGTGAGAATTTGACCGCAGCCATAGAGAGATCTATAAGATAGTTCTAACGTGCGTTGTCGTCTCAGTTTGGCGGCAGTCGGCGGTAATTCGACGGGTACCGGCGGTGCGGGCGATCAGGGCAAGAAAAAGGGCAATGCCGGTGTTGGCGGCGAGCATGGCAGTGGCATCAGCGTCACCGACTTCGCGGGTGCAGGTGCGGGTAATGGTCTCGATGGACTCGACGGCCTCGACGGTGGTCTGGAGCGTTGCAGCTTGGAGGAGGTTCGGACCTGGGGCTCGTCCTTCGACAAACTGATGAGGAGCGCCGCCGGCCGCAAGCTCTTCAGAGAGTTCCTCATGAGCGAGTACAGCGAGGAGAACATTGCCTTCTGGCTTGCCTGCGAGCAACTCAAGAGGGAGAACAATCCCGAGACGATCGAGGAGAAGGCGCGCTACATTTACGACGATTACATATCCATACTTTCGCCAAAGGAAGTGAGTAAACTCTTCATTAGCTCATAGAGAAAATACTTACTTATTCGTGATAAGAAATCGTAATCGTAACTCGATTGAAGCACTCAGGAGCAGCCAGCAAATGATCGTTGATCTATTACTTGCATCTAGAATTATACAGTAACATAATTATAATTCTTTTATACAAATAGAGATGTAAGATATTTTTATTATTATTAAAGAGTACATAATTATTGGCGATAATTGAAATTAGTAGCAGCTTCGAATTAAAATTATGATTTATTGTTAATTTTTTTCAGATGCTTCGGATCTACTAGCGATAATTAAATTTATCTATTTCGAAACAATTTTTTATATTTTTCATATATTTTCACGTTTTTAAAAAATTTATTTAGCAATTGTGGAGTATATAAACTAAGCCGAATATATAACAAAATTATATATTAGAATCCTGGATATATGACTGTAAAAATATAGATATAACTATTTTATGTGACGTTTAAAAGTATACGACATTCAAGAAGAAATTGTTTTTATTTTCTGGGAAAAACGTGCTCTATTATTATGGTACATTCTGATACCGAAGTAGAGATAGCGTCAACCTGGAAATAATAAGCATATTCTAACGTAACCATCTATTTAGTTTATAATGGCATACGCAGTATGCGTCATGCGATCAGTATCTGCTACTTTGAATAGCTCGTGCGATGCATCATAAGCACTTACACATTTCATAACATAAAATAATTCCTACCAGAGCTTCCAGAGCTGTTAGCTTTGACGATAGAATCGATAATGTTATTGGATGTATTATCTAATTACGCCATTTTTTTTATCGGATGCAAAAAGTCGAGTGTACGAACGCGCAAGAATTAGAAAAACGTGATAGTAAAATTAAATGCATTTTGACGTGAAGGGAGACTTTTGCAATATAATGTTTTGTTTGAGAAAAGCTGCGAATGCGCGTGACTGATTTCTTCTATATTAACCGACTGACCTAGTGACCCAGTGACCTCTTTAACAACTTATTCACCCAAACGGGGCGAATGCACGAACCTTCTTTTGCCATTCGAACATTACGGCATAATTGTACGGTACACGATTATACATTATTGCAATCACCTAGATTATTTTATGAGATAATATAAAAAAGATCGTGTTAAAAGTATGTCGTACACATATTATGGTCTATAATTCTCGGAAAGTTTTTTTATCGTTGTTTATAACTATGAATATATCGGTACTTCGCCATTCTTTGTGAAATAAAGAATAAAGAAAAATTGTTGCGAAAATGCAGTTAAAAGATTTACATATTAGCTTCATCTTCGAGGCCGTGGATCTGTCTATTCCTGAAAAATTATATTTATGTAATTAATTAAAAGAATAAAATTGTACAACTTGTAAATTTTATTATTATTTTATACAAGAGAGAGAAAGAAATATTGTAGAATTAAAAGATATTTTATAAGAAATGAGAGAATATAAATTATATGCAAATAGTGATTTGTAAATTAAGATACAATAAGTTGCAGTTTCGTAGAATATTTTTATATAGCATGTAGTTGATAATATCTGATACAAATTTTAATTAATCCATTTTCTTCGTCGTTTATATTTGCAGGTGAGTTTGGACTCGCAGGTGCGAGAAATGGTGAATCGCAACATGGTGGAGCCTACACCGCATACCTTCGATGAGGCGCAGCTGCAAATCTATACCCTCATGCACCGGGACTCGTATCCGCGTTTTGTCAACAGCGAGATTTATCGGAGGGTGGCCAGAATGACTAGCAGCAGCCCGCCTAGCCCGAGTACAGGACAGGAGCACAGTGGGAAGACGAAGAGCAAGCGAGGAGCGACGTAATCGTGATCGTGATGGTCCAGAGACCGTCGGGAGCGCGGACCAAGACCTCTAAAATCAAGCATCTTCATCAAAGCCACGATCGGCCGAACCGTTCGGCAAGGGTTCGCAACACCCTCCTCCTCCTCGGAAAGCCTCCGCTGAGGCGAGGAATCGCCCGAGTGGACAAATGGCTGACGAAGCTAATACCTCGCAGGAGGGTATCTCCATTCTCACGGATGGACGACGAGCTTTCTGGTCGCGTCAGATTGCTCGCACGAAAGCCGGGGGCTTGTTCAGTGATTCGCTCTTCCACGCGAAGGCGCAACGGGGCCATGTAATCGCGCTCGCCATTTCATGCGAGCCATTACGACACCGATGATGATGATAATGATAATGATGATGATGATGATGATGATCATGATGGACTGAACGTACGACGAGATCGCGATCGCGGTTGATCGCGTAAATCACAAATCGCAACGTTCCACTTTCAGGATTTCTGTACAGAGCGCATGCACGCGGGATGGTGGATCGTAGCAGGAGAAAGGGTTACGCGATCGCACGGGGATGACGAGCACCAATGCGAACACCATCGATTCTCCCGTGTCCATCGATCTTCGCGAGCCTCACAATCTACCCTCGTTGTAGTTGTAACTCAAAAGCTCGAATAGAAGATCGACTCGGGCTCGCGAGCTTCCCCTTTCTCTTTCGCTCTTCTCGGCTTAAAAGCGAATTCGATTTGAATCACATACCTTATGTCTTTCACAAGCCATTATAAAATAGTCAAAGTATCCTCTTCTATTTCTTAGCAAATATTGAAGAAAGTTAGAAAAACATTCTGGATATTTTTTTAAATTAAATTCACGCATATTAAACGTGAACGATTCTAACTCAATTTGCCAGAGGCCAAGCAGATTGAAAGAGGTAGACTATCTGATTTAAATCTAATACGTTCGACGAAACGAGATGCTCACAACATAATATAATTACATAACTACAATTATCTGACACATTTGCTGTTGAAGAGATGATGATAATCGCCACACATATTTCTAGTCACATGTATTCAACCGAAATTCCGCGATTGCATTTTTCCGCGGATGAACAAGCTCTACAAGCTCGCGAATTGAACTTTTGCGGAATAATGAATACTAATCCCTCTCTCAGGACGCAATTGATCCCGGACGCATTTTATCGCGATTGTGTCTCCTGTGATTTTAAGATTAACGCGTAGCAAAAGAAGAAAATGTCTTCGTGAAAATAGGTTTAATCTGCTCAAGATCGAACTTACCGTTTGCTCTCTTTCTCTTCCTTCTCTCTCTCTCTTTTTCTCTCCTCTCTCTTTCTCTCTTTCTCTATTTCTCTCTCGTTTCCGCGACATTTACCTTCCATAGATGGGGGAGAATCGAGTTAACATCGTCACACAGCCCGTAACTTCAGGGTAACGTATCGTAACGCATTTTTTATCGCGCGCACTTTTCTATAATCACCAGTAGTCCGCGAGTTTTCCTTCTCGGGGAAGGACGAAGTCGTGAAATCGTACTTATATCCAGGAAAATGAGGAGAGTATCGAGAAAGGGAAAGGGAGAGAAAAAGAGAGTATCTTTCAAGAAACATCGTTAAGGATACCTTGATTCATTCGCTTTCATCACACTTTTACGGGTTACCCGATGGACAGAGGTTTTCGCCACGTTTTCTGGTACGTCATCCCCATGGCGGATATTGAGCTACTGCCAGCGAGAATACACCAAAGATCGAACGTGCGCTGAAGTCAACTAATCTGACGATCACCAAAGAGAAGAATAACATTCAATTGACATACATCACATGCATATGCACACGATTACATACACACGCGCACAGATATATACATGTACAAAGACACGCTTACACATACCCACGCTGACGCAAAGCGCGTACGCTCGTGTAGAATCTAGTCATCGTCACGCGGAAACGCGCGACCGTGGAAGAAAAAGGCCTAAACACGAGAAAAAAAATACCAAGTGTATCCTTCGAATTCGCGCGAAAAGTCGAGGCTGTCGCATCGAAATTGAACTGTCATCGTTAATGAAAGCAATGAAAGAGGAACCCGGGAGGGGAGGGAGAGAGAGAGAGAGAGAGAGAGAAAAATTTCACGGAAGCGGCTCGACGAAAAGCGAGGCGAGACGAGGCGTCGCGGTGCGGACGCATCTTTAAACATTAATTCATAAGTATAAGTATGGAATAGGATTTAAAATAAAATAAAAATAAAATAAAGAGACACTCGAGTGTCATTTGTAAGCACGATTGAAAAGCCAGCATTATTCACACCGCGGCGCCCGCTTGCTATAATAAGAATTTCTTCTCGGCCGCGATGCGCTCCGACTCGAACGATTCACTTCGCCTTCAGATTTATGTTCCGCTTCCAGTGTCTGTACCCCGATTCTGCAACTCTTAACAGTGTCGTTATAATGTTATTGTGCAGATATGAAAAAAAAATCTGCGCGAAGTAACGATAACCGTTGTCAAGAGTTACGGAATCAGGGTATTGTATTCTGTACACGACTACCGACAGTTATGACAGTATCGTTAATTAGCGACAGCCAATGGCGAAAAGGAAATAAACGTGACTCTGATTAGTCGTTAATTAACGATACTGTCGACAACTGTCGATAGCCATGTACAGAATACAAGTCCAGAAGTGTCGCACGAATGTTCCCTGTAGTATGTTTACATCTGAGATATGCTGCAGTATATATGTGCACAGCACCGTGTTTGACAATGGTAAGTAATGTACATGCTGGAGAGACTCAGAATGAAATTATGAAGAAATATGGTCAGTATATAAGTGTCAGAAACACGCGACTAATGTTAAACGTAAAGATTAATAGCTAGCTTAATATAAAGTAATGTCCCAAAGAAACCGCGAAGAAACTCCTCCAGCGTTCGTACCTACTTATGTCAGACACAAGTCAAGCGAAATGAATGTCAGATGTAAACTTGTCGCCATCTCGGCCGCCATTGCTAGCATCTTATCTCACATTGTGAGACTGATCGGGAAAGAGAACGACACTTGGCCGAGACGGCGACAGCGTATCGCAAGCTCAAGAGACTCATATTATATATTTATTCTTTCGTTTCTTTCCACCTCACAAACAATATACTCTCAGGAATTCATTGAAACGTATCGATGGACAACATAACGTAATATTCGCCGCGCTATAAAACGACCAAGAGAGCGATAGAATTTCGAGCGCATCGCGGCGCGCCCGCGCGATCTCCACTTGCGACATAGATTGGTATTACGTCGCGCCAGGTAGACATGTCAACCATTATACATTACACGTAACAAAAGACGCGTGTGCTCTCCCGAGGATCATCGTGATCGGGAGGTGTGAGACGATATATGAACGCGCATCTCTCTAGTCAAATCGAAAATTGTCGGTATCGTCGCGAGCGGATAACACAAGCGACAACACAGTCAGTCAGCGTTTGGCTACTGCCCTGTAGATAATATATAGATAGGTATAATGAACGAAGAAAATTAATTATAAATATAAATATATAAATATATATATATATATATATATTAAATATACAGAAAAATATGTGCTATGTTCTACATAGATGCCGAATGCAAGCGTGCGAGAATAACCGTGAGAGAGAATGTGAGGGTGATGTGTGAATCTTTTTAATCTTCGATTCTTTGTTGGACGCGAGGGCAGCCCGTCCACCACGACCGAAAAGATGACGCTACTAATGGAAATCTCAAGCCGATTTTAATTCTAGCATCGACTGCTCGCGTGACATCGATGCAGAAGACGAACGTGATACGGTGAAGATCATAAGCAGTGAGAATGCGCGAGTAAATTGAGAGAGAGAAGGATAGAGCGACAATGATATAAATAAGCGTAAATATCCTTTTAGGACTTGTGAATACAATATTATCTTATTATTATTGTCATTGTTATTATATTATATTGTTATAGAGTAATTATCATTATTACTGCTATGCTATTATGCGACTATCGTAATTATTATAAATCCTTGTTTCTTTTTCTTTTTTGCTGCAATTTTCGCAAGCAAGTCGCAACAAGTATTGTGATATAGAAATTTTGTGATATAGAAGTTAAATGTCTTCGTCGAAGACACTCGCACTTTTCGCTCTCTCCTCTTCTATCCTCAGCAGGGCTGTTCATTTAGGACCTCAACGCGATTTCTGGAGGCCTCGCGTCGGCATCGTCGATGAAATTAAGTGGTGAGATTGCTCGAATGTCGTCTTCATTAATAAACGCACAATTTTCTCAACCTTCGATCCCCTGCTTCTTTCTTCACGAGGAAATCTCCCTTAAAATCTGTGTAGGGCGGAGAGGTAAGGGCATGCCAGATCCATCATCAGCACAGCTGCGATCGTGCATGAATCTCTCCCGACCCTTGCATATGTTAAAACCTTCCAATTTTTATTTTCAAAGCAATTGGTGAACTCCTTCAGCGCTATGTGTACAGGTAAGTATCACCTAATTTTATAAATTCTCGATTAAACTTGGATATATCTTGAAACGATATGATTGATTGAATTATATTTAAATCATTTGGAAGAAATGTTTAAGAGAAGCATTGGAAATGCTACTATAAATTTTTGTTTTTGTTCGTTGCATTAATTTTTAATAACCTTAATAATTATGTTTTTTTTATATATATTATGTCAAATAAGATATATTGTAAATAAATATGACATTTAAAAAAATTGATTACACCATTTCATAGCAGTATAAGATGCATTGCAAATGTGAGAATTTTATTATCAAGAAAAGTTTATAAAATATCTTTTTTCAAAAAATAAATCATATATAATACAATTCATCATATAATAATTAACATACAATATAAAATTTATTTTTATTAATTTCGAAGTATAAAGCCATCCATTTTTCTATTAGAAGCTGATTTACGTGATGTCATTGACAATATAGAAATGCTATGCGTAACAATATTGCAAATTCACAATGTATTATTACAAAATAATATTGTATAATATTTTATAATAATATAATAATATTATTACAAAATAATATAGAGCTGCCAAAAAATCCAAATTGATGATAATTAAAAAGTGATCCAAGAATAAAATTGTTTTAAAAGTTTTTTTATTACTATTGTTATTATTACATTCTAAATTATCTCATTTTCTAAATCATTATTTAATTATTTATCTTTTAATTATATTAACGATTAGTATAAATTGTTCTGCAATTGTTGTTTCGATCCTTGGTCCTGTCTTGATCTTGTCCTTGACAGTTTGGTTTCTTCTGTAACAAAAAAATCCGTCTCATTAATTTTTTTTTTCATATTGAAATTATAATAATTCGATTGAACGCAGTGCGCATTGATACACATTAAAGCAATCGTAAATTAAAGATATGTTTATTAATTAAATAAATAAAAAATAAATAAAAATAAATATGAAAACCGTGAAATAAATCGTGAAATGCTTGATACACTTTATTGTATTGTTAAAATATGTATACTATACTGTTAAAATATGTATACTATATAATTCGAAAAATTTGCATTTCATTTTTATACTTAAATTAAATCAATGTACAATGCTTTAATATGTACTACGGCAATAATGCGCATTAGTGTGTCCATTTCGCCATTATTAAACTTTATATTTAGGACTTACTGGAGGCTGTGCTCCTGCTCCGTTGGCCTGTTTTCCGCAATAAATCTTAGTCATGGATTTTGTTGTACTTTGATATTGATTTGTTGTATACTGAAATAATTCGGTATAAATTTAATACGTATAAAATTCTGCCAAACTGTGCGTCGGATTTTTGAAACGCTACTAATGTGTAAATAATTTATTAAAAATATTACAAAAAAATTACCTTTTGATCCATGTTGTGTCGAATGTTTCTTCTCTCTCTTGTTCAAATCCAATCAGAGGAGACTGTTGATGTAATTTGCCACTCTCTCTGTGAGGCTATATATATATAACCAATTCTGTATTCTCCCTCTATACATTTTAAAATACCACAATTACCAATAGCGATAATAGACTGCATGTAGACTCTATTTCACATACTTTATTTACATATAAAAAAGAAGAAGACATCAACCTTTGAAGTAAATTTTCTGAGAATTTCCTTTATTTTAATACAGCGCATTATAAAAGAAAGAAACCTTTTCTTTTCAGGAATATTTATCTTCAGCTACACATGCTAGGGTTCTTTTGTTCGATTTTTGATAATTTTAAAAGAATATCTCGTCGATGTTTCAAAAAAATAAAGTTGTTATCAAAAACATTAAGATAAATAAAAAAATGACCTAAGCCTATTTTACAATGTGCTCTTTGTTTCCTATTTCTTTTCCTTTTACTTTTTGCCTTTTGCTTCTTCCCCTTTTACAACCGTTTTATCGACAATTATATTTCTTGCTACGTAGTTCTTATTTCTTTCGAAGTTCGTTAATTGTTATCTCGGGCTACATAAAACAAAAAATCGGATAAGAAGCAAAAAGACCAGATGTAAAAAAATAATAAAAAGCAAAAAACAGAAAAAGCACATTGTAAAATAGGCCTTACAATTTAAAAAACAAAGTACAAATGTGTAACCTATTTGTACTATATTTGTTTGTTACATAACTATTGTTTGTTACATCGACGAATAATAAAAAATGATTCGCAATAGTAACTAATTTATTCATTTTCCTACCAAATTATCACACAAATTATTTTGTTCTAATAACAAATTCATTTTTTTCAGTATCAGTCATATTTTCATATAAATGTACAAATCACTTTTCGAATTCAATTTAAAAATGTATATTATCACTATGATATTAGCCTTATAACTTTAAATCTTTTATTGCGCCATTCGTATCGCAATTTTAAAGCTTCTGACTAGTCACCACGATCATATTGGAACCGTGACATAAGAAATACATTGAAATTTCTTGCGTGTCATTTGTAAATAAAGAAAAAAAAATGTGTACCCACTATGTACCTACTCGTGAAAAAGTTATCGAGATATGACAAGATTTGAGCAATAATAAGTGAAAATTGGATTGATAAGTGAATAAATCAAATAAGAGAAAAAATTCTAACAAATAAGATAAAGAACGCTAACACGCATTTAAAGTTAGACGTTTTGAATAATATATATTAGGTGTACAAATAAGTTTTAAAGCGTTTTTTGTGTAACGTATAATTTAAACTTAGAATTCAAATATTTTCGCGCTCTTTTGATATGTAGTGGCACTTAATGTGTACTATTAAAAAACATAATTGACTTCACAAAATTGGAAACTTAACTTCAAAATTAAATGGTTTTAAAATGGCGAGCGACAAGCAATTTATTCGACACTGCATTCGATACGAATTTCATCAAGGAAAAAGCGCTGTTAAAGCATGTGAATCAATTTGTTCTGTTCTTGGAGTCAATGTTGTATCCAAAAGTACGTGTGAGTTTTGGTTTAGGCGATTTAAGAGGATGATTTTGATGTTAGCAATAGAGAACGTAGTAGTACTCCTCAGAAGGTTACAAACAATGAATTGAAAGCATTACTCGATCAAAACTCATGTCAAACACAAAACGAACTTGCACAGCAACTTTGAGTAACTCAACAAGATATTTCAATTCGTTTACGGCAGATGGGAAAGATTCTGAAGGAAGAAAAGTAGATGCCGCATGCATTAAGTGAAAAAAACAAAAATGATCGTCTTGAGAAGTGTTTGAATCTATACAATAAACAGCATAAAAATCTTTCTTGAAAATTGTGACTGGTGATGAAAAGTGGATTTTTTACGATAATCCTAAAAAGAGAAAACATTATGTGGATCCAGGACAACCTACTACATCAACGCCAAAACGCAACATATTCTTTTATTAAATCAATTTATTTTAGATATGACTGCGCGTCGAAAATTTTTCAATACAATCAATCTGAAACGCTAATAATCCCCCCTAAATTAAATTGTAAAGAACTTATTACGAAAAATATTATCTTAGCCAGGATTCGAATCTGGGATGACTTTCCAGGAAGAGTGTCTTAGCCAACTCGACCACTCAAACTAATAGAAAAAAATTCTATTTTGGATCAAAATTTAGTGTACAAGACAATA